ATTTAAGTAGCTTAGAACCTAAACGCAACAGGAGAGGTCATGTAGACGGCTTAGGTTCCATTATTAAGAGCATCTCAGGTAATCTCGCCTATTTAGATGCTGCTAAATGCGATGATGCCATAAAAGCTCTCCAGAATAATCAATTAAAAATTACAGATGAATTTAACAATCATATTATCAGTAAAGATTGGATGGCACAACATACTAGTATAATATCTGAAATAGTTAATAATCAAAAATAAAATTAAGTCTACATTAGAATCACTTTTGAAGGAAGATGCCTACCGAGAATCAAGTTTAATTAAATATACAAAATTTTCCTAACTGTTAACAATTATTACAGAAAATACTGACGATATTCTAGCGGAATTACTTCGGTTAGAAAATATTCTAGCTTTCACTCGTAGCTTCAGGACTCATCATTCAGTTATTCATGTGCCTACACCGGAAAAAATTATAGACAAATTAAAGTTAATTTACAGTACAGAAAACGTATTAGACTTAGAATATCGAGAATACTATGACGTAATTAAGCCGGGTTATTATTATTTTATAGGTAAAAGGTTAGTTTTAACATTCAAATTTCCAATAGCAGATAATGATAGGTACGAAATAGATTGTCCATCCTACCCAATAAGTTAAACCAATCAATTATTCCTCCATATCCCTTAATAGCAACCAGCAGGAAAGCATTCATGTACATAGAGACAGAATGTCTGAAGCTCACTAACTGGTTTGTCTGCGAAGAGAAGATGAACAACCAAGTCCGAACGCAAGCTGGTTCTATCCAGAACATATTAACTAATTAATCTGTAGATACGACCTGCAAGACGACTACAATCAGCCTATTCAAGGAACCCGTAGAGAAACTGGACGAAAGACACTACGTACTCTCCTTTCCGCGACTCACCAATGTACGTACCATATGTGGACGTGAAGATTTCAAGATCATAAGAGGCAGCTTCCTAGCTACTGTTATTGTGAATTGTATATTACGTACAGATGAATTCACTATCAAAAACACCAATGACCAAGTCGAAGGCCAACCAATGAAGATAATGAAAATTTCCATGGATGCTGCGACACAGAATTCACAACCTCTCTACTCTCTCTAACTCTATTAATCTCAAAGGACTTCATAACATACAAGAAAAAATCATGTTGCACCCTACTGTACATTTGATGCCACCTTCCGATACAGTTTACCACACTGCGATACCATTCTATGGAGTGTTATTAAGTGCACTTGCACTGGCCGTTCTCATACTTGTACGACGTTGTTACCTGAAACATGTAAAAGTACTCCAGCAACTTTTGCTCTCAAGATTCTCAAATAGTTGCTGTTCTAAGGGTGGAGGTGTTACATATAGGTAAAAGGTACCCTAAGGAACCATAAGTAAAAAGCTGAGATTGCATTAGGATATTTCAACATCGATTCCAGCATGCAGCGATCAGGCGCCGCATCAGCAATACGGAAACGTGTAACCCAGTTTATAAAATTCATTATTAATTTTATTTAATTTTTTGGCATTGTGATTCTAACATTGAACGTAAACAATTGTAATTTAGCTTAGGAATAATTCAATTAAATGTTAGTTTTCTAAAATGTTTTTGCTTTTTTTTATCCTCCGGTCGCAGCCTTTGTAATTAGTGTTGTCAATGCTGTATTCTGCTATTGTATTTTTATCAGTAGGAACTAATAATTATTAAATATAGTTTCTATTATATAGTGATGCAAGCTGTTTGTACCCTCAAAAATAATGCGTGAGAGTTTGCGAGTGTGTGCGAGTGTATGCGAGTGACTGGGAGTGCCTCCGAGTGGGTGCGAGTGTATGCATGCGAGAGCGTGTAAGTACGTGCGAGTGCGCGCGACTGAAAATTAGCACGAAAAGATTTCTAAGATTCCTTGATAATAATTAGTGGTCATAATATACAGGATGATTTTTAGTCATCGTCCAAATTTTTTCCAGTCGCTAGGTATCATTCAAAGACTCCATTTTCGAAAAAAAATTGATAGGTCTATTTTCAAAATGAAAATATTTATTCCGAAGTAATACTCGACAAAAATTGGTTACCAATTTACACTATTATTATTTACTACGACTATGCGTCGATGAATGAATGCCATACGCTAACCGCACGGATTCTCCAATCATACGCCAATCAAAGCAAAATGCCGCCACCGCCGCCGCCCGCGCCGAACGCTATTGGGGGCTGTCACTTCAGTCGTCACACGTCCGTGTAGCGCTTCGTACGTGTGTGCAACGCTATCTCGCTATTGAAAACGCATTCACGTGTCACTATGTATACAAACCGCGAGTACTTTGAAATGGTCAAGTGCTATTTTATAAGTGATGAAAGCCTAAACGGAGCCCAGAGACTATACGAGTCAGAGAGCATTCCTCGCCTTCGCAATTATGGAATAGTCCTACAGTCCCCAACCGCCAAACGTTTCTGCATGTCATACAGAGGCTTTTAGACCATGGCCAGTTTACGACGCCTTCACACGCCCAAGGACGTGGTAGGCCGCGACTGTCCGTGGAAATCGAAGACGAAATCTTCGATTTTTTCGAGAGAGATCCAAGACGAAGTACACGTGATGCAGCTCGACGGTTCAATGTTAGCCAATACGCTGTGTGGAAGCTGCTCAACACCTCTGGATTGCACCCTTATCACTTTCAAAAAGTGCAAACGCTAAATGAAGCAGACGCGCTGCCTCGTCGAGTTTTCTGCGAGTGGCTGATCGCACACCCCGATGCGGTCATTTTATGGACTGATGAAGCCCTATTCACACGTGTGGGGCTGTACAACCAACATAATGAACATTGGTGGTCGTATCGCAACCCGCACATGATAAAAGACAATTATCACCAAGTGCGTTTTAGCGCAAATGTGTGGGCCGGGATTGTCGGTGATAAAATTCTAGGGCCGTATTTTATTGAGGGGCGGCTGACCGGAGGCACCTATCTCAATATGCTACAAAGCATAGTCTCTGATTTGATGGACGACGTACCGCTATTAACCATACGTCGTTAACCATCCTGCTTTTTATTATCAGCATGACGGTGCACCGCCACATTACGCTATCGACGTGAGGAATTATTTAAATATGGAATACGGGAATCGCTGGATCGGCCGCGGGGGTCCCGTTCCATGGCCACCCAGGTCACCAGACCTCACACCCTGTGACTTTTTTTGTGGGGCGAAATTAAACGCCGCGTGTATGTGGAGGAGGCCCAAAGCCTCAACGATTTGAAACTAAAAATTGAAAGTGCATTTGCACAAGTGAAAAGTGACACTACAGTGCTGAACAAAATACAAGACAATATTCAAAAACGTGCAAGAATCTGCTTGGAGAGGAATGGTTTACATTTTGAGCAATTATTAAAATACTGTTAAAGTTGTTACGCTAAGGTAATTTTTATTTGATTTTAATTAAATGTACATAAGTTGATTCAAATTTTTTAAATTCGCCTTATTGCAAAAGGCATGGCCTGCTTTTATTTTTATACTTCTGTGTACGATACGAGTGCGGACTACATTTGTCGTAAATCGATGTTTTGTTTAAATTTATTGATATTATTATAAAATGTTTCTAGTTCACTAATAAAAAACACCACGTGCGTAGATAACAAAAGGGCGATGGGAAGATTCTTTTTTTGATTACTTGCTAAATACTAATTCGATACAATTCATCGTAGGAAGCGAACCTTTTATTTGTTTGTCTCACAAACAAAAGTAAAGATTATTTTCTTTTGTTCTCTACGCATGGTAAAATTTTTAGTGACTTTGAAATTCAATAAGTAAATTCTTCGATGGCCTTCGGTAACACAACGCTTTAAATGCGTAGAAGTTAAGTTCGGGAAACAACTTTCCTAATTAGGTGTGTTTATCTGGTGCATTATTTTTATCATTATTTTGTAATAATATCATTAAATTTTGTCAAACCTCTAAAACAATTTACTTATAAACTCCCGCTCTCGTTTTCGTGCGTTAATGTAACAAAATCTTGACTTGAATTCGAATTAATTGTCTACATTCTAAAATAACATCACAAAAGGCTTTTGTAACTTGACGGTCCTAAGCCCGTGAAAGTATGAAGGGAAAATTTATTTGCAATTTATGTATTTTATCAATGACGCGGGGGGTGGCCTAGCGCGCATATCGAGTAGGCTGTCCATACGCGCGCAATTTTTTAAAACAATTTTGCGATGGCATAATTATCTTAATTTTAGTATTGATTTACACTAAAAGGAAAATTTGCGCATGTTATATTTTCACTAAAGATCATAATATGAAAATTTGGACGATGACTAAAAATTCAAAATTTTGTAATTTTTAAATATGGCCGCCATTAAAGAGCTATTTAAATATTTTTAAAACAAAGTCCTAAGTGCCGAGGTCGCAGTCCGAGGTCCGCGGAGGGCGAAGCCAGAAGCGTCCGCACGCCTTCGTATAGAGGTAATTATATACGGAGGCGTAATAGATTACGAGTATAAGATTTCACAATTGTAAAAATGTAAGGCATACTTCCCGATGCCCGATTTCTACTAAAATGAGATACTTATTATAGCGTTGTTGTATCTCAACCATATCTGTTAGATTCCATTTTTTTGAAAGCTATGCCAAAGAGAAGTATTTAGGGGGAACAAATGCCAAAGTACTACTGAATTTCCTGTACTATGAATACCAAAACAATGATAATCCAGAATACTCAGACCAAAACCAACTTAGAAATGTTTGTTTCTTAAATTGGCCCAAATCGGGAATCGATCTCCTCATCAAGCGCCCATAGTACTAACTGCTGTGCCACCAAAGAGCATGAGCACACCCCGTAAACTGAACCCAAACATGCGCCGCAGGCCGAGCCCGACCCCACCGTAGGTGAGGTGCAGCGCTCGTATTTTATATGGAGTTACCATACTTGTTCTTATTCTACTATGCTAATATCCTGTATTATGTACTTATCCAAAATATTACTGAATGTTGCATGAACATACTGAGAGTAATCCGGCCACCGAAAAGAGACCCGCGGTCAAAGGCATCTTTCCACTTGAAAGGGATCTGGACCTCCTGCGGTGGCACCTTACTTTCCAGCGACACCAGCTGGTCATAGTAGCTGCAAAATGTTTCATGTATTTATTCAAAGTATTCATGATTGTGACAAACAAGGAGGTATTGTGTACAACAGTGTCTCCTTCTTTATTGTCCCTACTTGCAAAAAAAAAACAACTCATTGGTACTGAGTGTATGGAACCAATTAATGTTTCCAGTAGGGCTAGCACGACAGGGCATGACTTGCGCGAGAGCGACATAATTGTTCATAAAAAAACTACATAACATAATTTTCAATGAGACACTCTGACTCTAATTGAATTATTTTTATATACTATTAATCGTACTATTTACATCAAACATACAAATCCCTGAATGGCCTAGGAATATCTAGATAGACACAGATCAAGGTTCTGATCTACATATTAAATAACTAAGCTATCTACTAAATGATGAAGGAGAATCAATCAATAAAGTATTACTCCAACAAGTGAAAGCATTTTTAGCAGAAACAACTTCAACAATTAATTTATAAAAATATTTTCTCTAACTGTTCACTTTGCCATTAATCCCTTTAGGCTTGAACGGTGAAGTTTTAATTTTGATCTGGTAGGTGAAGTTAAAGAATTCTGAAATCTTATCTCTAAGCATTATGTTAGAGATCTTTATATTATCTTTGTATATAACTTTTTTCTTACAGATTCCAAAAATATAAGTACAATCCGATCAGCTGCTGCCTGGTGGACCTCCACATAAGCCTAAACAATGTCTTGTATCATCGCTAATTTCTAGTATAAGGTTCGCCGCCAAACCGCGATGACATCATTTGTTTATTGCTTCACTTGCCATTGTCACGCGCAGTTCCTATTACAGGTTGGAGACCACGAGACGAGCCTACAAAGAAGTCGCGCGCCGAAGCCTGCGTTGACTCAGACGCGTCGAGCAATTTGCGACCATGACTCATAAACGAGACAGCGGAGCCGTTTACCTGTAGATCATATCGAGAGAAGTCTTGTCGAAGATCTTCCAGATCGCGTTGGACCGCATCCGCGCGAGCTCTGCCAGCGCTTCATTGTAGTCATCCGCGCCACCGGCGCCGCTGTACGTGGCCTGGATTAGGTTCCGCAGCGGTTTCACGATATCTACATCCGTGGATTTTTTTAACGGTACCGACAACAACTCAGCCATTTCTGCAATTGTTACTATGAAACTGACAACTAAATTGACAATGACAAGGATTTTTCGCACACAGCTGACATTGACAGTTGAAGCCACAGATAAGAAAGGCTTATTCTGTGCGTCTTCCGCTTAGAGGATGGAAAAAAATCTTCCGGCGCGAGAGTACTGACAAGTAAATTTCAAAAAAATTGAACAACCTTGTTACACTGGAATTTACACTTCGAGCGTCGGACTGAAGCATGACAAAATGATCTTGAATCGATATCGTTGCCTCGAATTCATATAACTTTAGCCGATATGCCCCAGAGATCTTCGTCTTTTTAACATGTATACATTTAAAAGCTTTAATGATGCCTTGTGAATTAACATAATGAAAATGAAATACACTGCCACAAACTTCAACATTTTTCTTTAGGAGATCAATAGCAAGAGAAGGAACGGAATTTAATGATTCTGTAGTGTTCACGGCGATTTCCGAAAAGAACGATTCAAAAACTTGGGCTACCAGCTCATCTTTAGATTTAATAAGCTTGCCGTCTAATTCAAGAACTATAATATCTCTATAGTGTTGTTTAACTCTGTCTGACTCTTTATGTGTTATACTCCAAGTATATAATTTTAGATTTATTTTTCGATTGTATAATTTTATAGCTATGAAACTTAACCTAAGCAGCTACTCATAAGTACTTTTAAAAATTTTTAACACATACTATACTCAGATAACAAAACATAAGCAGATGGATGGAGCGCGCCGAACACGAAAGTGAAGCCATCAAAGCAAATACAAATACAAATCAAAAGCGAATACCAACTCGCGTCAAACATCTTTCTAAGCTCAGCGTTGCAATATTTGCACGTCACGAGTGATTAGTTATTGTATGTTTAGAAATGTCGTCTTATGTCTTTAAACATTGTAAAAGATGCCCCCTCCCCCAAAAAAAAAGATAGAATATCTATAATATTAACAATAATAATAATAACGCACACACTGAACATAGCCACGCACTAGGGATACCCTATTCACAGGGAACTATTGTTAATTTAACTATTTTGTAATTTATTCACCCGTTATTTTTTTCGATTCACTCGGAACCACAGAGTACAAAACAATAGGCAGATGGAGCATACGCAATAAAAGAAGTGAAGCCACTTTTTATTTATTGTGTGCGTAACAACTATGAGGGACAATGTATGGACATGCGCATTTGTGTACGTGTAAGATTGCCGGATGCTGCAAAAAAGCTCCCGCCTTTTTTTCTGTTGCTTTCTATAATACTGTTACAAATAGGAAATGTTATTTTGCACTGTAAGTACTTAAGTGGCATTACGATATCAAACAAATTATATGCAATATAAGTTAATATTTAATTGTTATTATTTGATTTACATCACACAAAGAAAATATATTTTAATACAGTTGTTCAAAACGTGGTATTTTTCGCACTACAAATCGTGCGGAAAGTTGGATTTCTCGCACTAGTGCTTTTTACTTTTCCAGTTTTTTTTAAATTTACTGTTGTTTTAAGTCTTAAACGTAGAACTAAAGAAGTTGTATATTTATTTAATATGTATGTGCTTTGTGACGTACATAAGTCATTCGTCATTAAAACTTATATTTATTTACAAATACTATATAATGAACGTATCGAGTGGAGGTCCACAGTCTCTGCCTACCCCTGAATGGGTGACAGGCGAGATTTGTATGTATATATTTATTTGTTCTATGTATTACAGATAAATTGTATCTCACTACCGTGCACGGGTTCCTAAAGAAGTTTAAACAAAAGTACCAGGACTTCATAATAAGAAAAGTGGTTACAGACCGATATTACAGAAAATAAACAAAAACAGCACGTTAGAACTAGATTTCTATAGACTTTTAACTAATGGTTGCAGTGGTTGTATTTCATTATTTTAATTTACTAGCAGAAAATGAGTTTTGTTTAAATACTGTTTTATTTTACTTTCAATGTAGTTTTTTCGCAAATGTATTAAAAAAACGTCGTTTGATACACGTGCGGATTTGTCATTTTCACTTGTCTCGCGCCTTGACCTCGAGACTCGTGAATAATGACTAACTTTCCGCACTTATATCAAAAATAACTATTATTAAGATATTTTAAATTGGAAAACTTTGATAGTTCAAAATATTTATTACAATCACAGTTATACAATATCTTAATAACTTTTATTTTGTAAACATTTTTTATAATACTACCGTTTCGTGTCGAGCATTATATCATGTTATATCGAGCATTTTATCATGTTATTTTTGTTATGTTTATAGTTGTTTTTGATATGCAGCGCAATCTCGCCTTCAAATACTTTTCTATTAAAATTTGTATTAAATTAACTTTGTAATCAATTCCATAGCATTGACAAAAATTGTTTGGTTCCCAATGAAACTCTTTAGGACTTGTGAAGTCATTACATACATTATAATATTTTTTTTAATTTTATTGACACGTTTTCTTATAAACACACTCTATGACATGTGCGCATAACAATGAAAGTTCTCTGTATCTATAGGGCTAAAATTTTAGCTGTTTTTGAACATTTTCTTTGATGTAGTTACATAACCGCGATTAGATATTGTCACTAATTTCAGGCTTCTTACCACGGTATGACTTTTTTTTATTTTCCCGATGTTTCGGAACGGTTGCACGCTCCATGGTCACGGGTTGAAAATCTGTATAGATTAGCGATTGGTTTGAGAATAATTTGGGTAAATCTGAGTTACCTAAAAACAATTTTGGATAGCAGTAGTTGGACCATTCTGTGTGTATATGCATGTATTATTTCATTTCTATACAAAAGTATATGAATTATTCGATGCTCCTATCACCCATTATTATTATTATTAGGGTGGCTTTATTCAGGGCCTATGCATCCCCTCATCACTGCGACCATTGACTCATCTATAGTGATCGCCACTAATTACAGTGCAGAGCCAAGGCCGACAGCATTGAAAAACTGAACGACATCACTGGCTCCGACAGATTTAATGTCCTCTGGTTGTGGCATGTGCCTTCCCAGTACGAAACTTCGTACGCTCATCAGGGGGTAGCATTGGGTGAGTAGGTGAACAGGAGTTTCATCTTCCGTGTGGCAGAATCTACATTCTCTATTTTCTCTCTGCCCAATATTTGACATGTGCTTGTTTAAGCCACAATGCCCTGTTAAGGCTCTAGTGAGCATTCTTATGCCATTTCTGTCCAATGACAGAGTTTCTCTACGGTGTTTGGCACTGTAGGCAGATATCAGGACTTTTGAATGCTCAAGACCCTTGTTCTGTAGCCACACTTCTCGGGAGACGTGTGTGCTCTCATTTAGCAGAATGAGCTTTACCAGACTGTATACTATCCCTATGAAGGGTTCGGGTCCAATAAAGGTTTTCCTAGCATCAGCCTTTGCCAGTTCATCCGCTGATTCATTATCCTCAGAGTGGCCTGGAACCCAGCGCAGTACCACTGTATTACTTTCCCCGAGAGTGTTCAGTATATTTACACAGTTCTCTACAATCCTCGATGTTTGGGTGACTGAGGCTAGTGCATGTAGAGCCGCTTGACTATCTGAGTTTATGTAAATATGGTTGTCAACGCAGCCTCTCTTCAGGTTCAAATCCGCACACGTGTATACCACAGCCTACGTTGGGTCCCAATTTGGACCCATCGGTATACCATAGAAGGCTACCGTCGATCCAGGTGAGACTGTTAGTTTCCCAGTCCTCCCTAGTTGGAAATTCTACCTGGTAGATTTTTTTAAAGTTTTGTTTGGGAAGCATGACATCAGAAGTCATTCCCAGAACAGAGTGTTCCAGAATTGAGTCTTGGACTGATCTCAATGTCTGGGAGAGCCATCTACTCCTTAACCTAGTGGTAAGCCTGTACATGCTGGTACTGGCCTCCCCCTGTATGAATAAATGCAGAGGAGTCAGGTTCAGCAATCCATTTAGGGCTGCCCCAGGTGTAGTGGACACGGCTCCCGTTGCTAGCAGGTACGCGATGCGCTGTAGACTGCCCAATTGTGGTTGTTTGGCTGACTTTAGCACTCTAAGCAACAGAGGCGTAAGTCACTATGGGCCTCACAATTGCCTTATATAACCAGAGAGTCATCTTTGGTTTTCGACCCCAACGCTGTCCCGTATGGCGGGCTACAGGTACCTAAGGGCATCTTGGCCTTGTTGATCGTGTTAGCTATATGGTGGTTCCACCTTAGGGTTTGATCTAGAGTTATCCCTAGATATTTGACTTCTGCGGAAAAGTCCATAGCCCTGCCACCAAGAATTGGTTCCACTAGTTTGTCTAGTTTCCGTTTCCTGGTGAAGGGGACAATGGTTGTCTTTTCCGCATTGATTGATAATTCGTTATCTCGACACCACGCGGAAATGGTGTCAAGTGCTCTTTGCATAAGTAATGATATAGCACTTTGGCAGTGCCCTCGAACTGTGATCACCAGGCATATCCCTGAGCGTCAATATTCAATTCAGCCAACCTATACAGGAGCTGATCCACAGCAAGAGTCCACAGGAGAAGAGAAATTACTTCAATTACATTACAACCGGGGCCCCAACCGGGCCCCCTAACCGGGCCCCCAACCGGGTCCCCAACCGGGGCCCCAACCGGGGCTTCCAACCGGAACCAACTTTTTTTTACACTAACTTTTGTTACTAGATCAAGACAAGAAATTCTGGACATTACTTTCTCTACGGCTTGGCTAGCCGGACTTATAACCGGCTGGCATGTTAGTGACGATACGTCGTTGTCCGGGGCCCAACCGGGGCCCCCAACTGGGGCTTCCAACCGGGCCCCAACTGGCACCCTAACCGGGCCCCCAACCGGGGCCCCCAACCGGGACTAACTGACCCCCATATGCCCTATAAATTTATCATAATTGTCAGTTTTAATTGTTAATTGTTAATCAAAACATTGAAAAGATTGAAAATTGATTAATTGTTAATTGTAGATATTTGCGATTAACGATTGATCAATCAACCGCAATTAACAATTGATTAATTGTTAATTGCGGTTCTCGCAACTAACAATTGATCAATCGTTAATTGCTGTTTCGCAATTAACAATTAATCAATTGTCAATCTTTAATTGCCAGAACAATTAAATTTTGCCCAACACTGAGGACACCCTTGTAGATACTGCCCTAGTCTGTCCCTATAGATGTCTCAGGCCGTGTCCCTTGGATTCCTAAATGTAGTGGGGTGGCAGGCTTTCCCTGCTCCCAGATCAAATTTTATGTGTTTGTGATCCGACAACGACGTATCGTCACTAACATGCCAGCCGGTTATAAGTCCGGCTAGCCAAGCCGTAGAGAAAGTAATGTCCAGAATTTCTTGTCTTGATCTAGTAACAAAAGTTGGTGTACATCCTTCGTTATTAAGATACAGGCAATTTCATAGGATAAAGTCATATAGTAACTCACCTCTGTTATTGATGCGTGAGCTCCCCTAAGCCGTGTGGTGAGCGTTGGCATCACATCCCACCAGAAGTTCTGCTTTGTGTTTCCGGGCGTATTCTGCCAGTCGTGTCAGATCTTCCGTGGGTTAGTTCTTTTCTCCAGGTATATAGGCTGAGCATACGATTATCTTGGCCTGAGTGCTACTTCGGGGAAAGAGTTACGCCGCTACAAAGTCATCAGTACAGAACTCTGGAACAGGCATAAGGTTAATGTATTTGTTATAAACAATGCAGGCTCTGAGTCTACTTCCACAGGTGTTGTAAATCAACTTACCAGCGGCATTAAGTACCATTATGTTTGTGTGGTTAACTCAGGGTTCCTGAATGAGGGCGATATCCACGTTGCCTTTCGCGAAGCAACACTACACCACAGCCGTTGCAGCCACAGCATGGTGGAGGTTTGCTTGGAGAACCCTCACCCTATCCCCCGTGGGCGCCATCTAGCGGGGATTGAAGCCCCGGCCGCGATGCTGCCCCCGATTGCTACGAGAAGGACGAGGCCGTCCTCGTGAGCCTCGCGGGTTGGCAGCCCCACGCCCTTGCACTCCTCCACGTGCCGAACTGCGGCCACGTGGGTTCGGTGCCGAAAACCACCGTCGTGTATCCCTCAGGCCGTCACTTAGTACCATTACTGTGGCAGTTTTTGGTCGAGCCGCCCCACTGGCACTTGTCGATGGCTGCGCTATTTGCACTACACCCGGGACAGCGGGTGCTGTCCGAGAGTGCCCAGCCTTCCGTCCCCGATTCTTCTGGGGCGATGCATCCAGAGTCGCAGACGTGGCAGCCCCGTCGCGTTTCCCCTGGTCTGTGGAAGACGGGCCAGGCGCAAACAACTGCACAGAGGCTACAAGCACCGATTCCTCGAGCGAACTTGTAACCGACACTGGTTTCGAGACCAGGATACCCCGCGCAGTGTCGTCACTGAACGTACTTTCCGGACACCCCTTGATCCTAAACATGCAGATGACACTGCGATAGTTTTCTCAGGAGATACTTGGGAAGAAGTACACACACTTACAGAAACTGGATTGGCCAAGATTTCTGGATGGTTGGATATGAACCTTTTAACTTTAAATACTGTTAAAACGAACTATATATGTTTCTCTTTTAGAAATTCGTCGCAACCAGTTGATGGTTTTGAAATTAAAATTCATAGTTGTGATAGACACGACACACAAACATGCAGTTGTCCTTCTATCAACAAAATTGATAAAGTTAAATATCTCGGTGTTATTGTTGATCAGAAATTGTCTTGGTATTCACAACTAGACTTAATATCGAGTAGGATAAGAAAGCTTGTTTGGGTTTTCAAAACTTTGCGACATGTCGCAACAAGGGATTTGCTAAATAAAACATACATTGCCCTTGTGCAATCTGTTATTGTTTATTGTATTCCAATTTGGGGAGGTGCATCGAAAACTAAATTCTTGGATCTTGAGAGAGCTCAGAGATCATTACTGAAAGTTATGCATTTTAAGCCATATAGATTTCCCACTACAGAACTTTATAATCATAGTAACGTACTTTCAGTAAGGAAACTATACATATTGCATGTGGTTGGTAAACTCCATAGGTCATTGAAATTTGACCAAAGGTTGCAAAATAAAAGAAGAAATGATGTAGTGGCTCCTTCTCAATTAACCAATTCGTACTTTGCAGGAAAACATTATGATAAACAATCTGCCTATATTTATAATAAAATAAACAGAATATTAAAAATATATTCTATGCAATATTACGACTGTAGAAGTGCGATGATAAAATGGCTGAAATTGTTAAACTATGACGAAACTGAGGATCTACTAAATGTACCTGCTTAATTCGTGGTGTTGACTTTCACAAATACTGTTTGTTGCTCACGTGTACGTATACTCAATTCTCAACTTCAACCATTGCTAATACTCTCATCTCACACACATTCACTCACACTTACACTTATACACACTCACTTACATACATACACCTTTTTACATTATATATATACCTAATATCCTAATTTTAAGTAAATAAATTGTACATGTTTAAATATTTAATATCTGGTCATACATAGTTTTGTAATGTGGAGGAGCGACATTCCTATCACAAGTATATTTTTACTTAAAAGGAGTGTCAAACCCAGAACAATGAAAACCCATGTATAAGTTGATGAAAATAAACATTTTTAATTTTTTAATTTTTTTTTTAATTTAATGGATAATTATTTACACATAGTACAGTATAATATACAGAGTTTACAGAGCACAAAAACACAATTACAAAAGTTGCTTTTATATGAACAAATTGATATTTGTTTGCTTAACGAAACCTGGCTGAATGATAAATCGAATATTCCCAACTTTCCAAATTATAATTTTCATTACAAACATTCTGAAAACAAACACAATGGTGTCGGTATTTTATTTAAACATGGTTTGAAATACACTTTTTTAAATACAAATTTTTATGAATCCATCCAAATCATAGCTATAACTCTAAAAACTCAGTTGGGTGATGTGTCTATTATCTGTGTATACTGTCCTCCCAATAGTAGTCGATTTGATAGTAACAAATTAAAAAACATTATAAATAATATTCCTAAGCCATGCATAATCATGGGCGACTTTAAAGCACATCACATACTTTTTGGTTGTCATAGTAACAACAATAGAGGCAATAGTTTGTATAATTTAATAGATGAATTGGATTTATGCATTTCAAATGTAGCACACCAACTACATGTCCATATCCTAATAGACAAGCTTCTGCAATAGATTTAACTCATTTGTGTGAATGTCAGGTCCAGGATGATCCCATGGGCAGCTACCATTACCCATTATCTCTTCATGTGAACATCCCAACCATCGTTGTATGAAATTAATTCTGTTGAAGAAAAATTCATTTATAATAACGCCAATTGGTCGGAATTCTACGAATTGTCTAAAACATGTTTTTCTGGTTTCAACCTTAAAGATGATGATTCACTAGAGCTTTATAACGGTTTTGTCAATATTTTAAATGATTTGAGAGAAAAGACTATACCCAAAAGAATAGGAAATCCCAATAAGACAATTCGTAGAAAACCAGCTGTTTGGTGGAGTGAAAAATGTGAGGATGTAGTTAAAAAATCGAAAGAAGCATTAAAGCAATATAAATTTAGTCCATCTATAGCTAATTTTATTCAATACAAGAAAATGGATGCTCATAAGAAAAGAATGTTATAGAGGAAAGTAGACTCTTGGGAAAATCTGTGCAGTAGCTTCAACAGACCATCACCGGTTTCTAGAATTTGGAGTAATATTAAACGATTCAAAAGAATAGGCAACAGTAATCATACTAGACACTTTGATGATGAATGGGTTCCAAGCTTTTTAGAAAACTTATTAGACGCTACAAAATTTAATACAGATGGACTTTTTAGTATGTTTAATAATGCAGAAGTAAATATTGTAAATTTCTTTTTTAATCAACCATATTCTTTGAACGTACGAAAGAAATCATCGGAGACCAGAAAATACAGTACACCGGGACTTGATAATATTCCATATATTATGATCAAAAAGTTACATGCAAATGCACAAAATATACTTCTGCACATTTATAATAGATTGTGGTGTGACCTCATATAATATAATAAATATAATATAAAATAATAAATAAACCTATTAATACTGCCTCCTCTTACAGACCTATTATCATCTTGTTTAGGAAAATGATTTGAAATTATGTTGAAGCTACGTCTTGACAATTATACAGAAAGTAATAACCGAATTCCTCCTATTCAACATGGCTTTAGAAAAGGCAAAAGTTGCTCTGAAAGCTTTATATCATTAATACATGATATTAAACAAGTAAAACTAAGTCACTCTAACATGGTTTGTATTTCCCTTGATGTTAAGGGTGCATTTGATAATATAAATATAGAACAATTGATTCAAGCATTATATGATATTGGAGTGCCAAGCAAAATCTTGTAATGGTTATTTAAGTTTTTGAGTCAAAGAATAGTTTTTGTACAACACAATAATAAGCTACATGGACCCAAAACTGCCAATAAGGGAACAATGCATGGAGCTACTCTTTCTCCGTTTCTATACAATTTATATTCTTCAGAAATTTTAAAACATGTACATTTTCTGTTTTTGTGACCTCCACATCACAACATTACCAAACACTTCAATAACTATTCCGCTCGTGGACTTTCTATCCTGTATATCAACTGCCCAATCAGCATCTACATATGCATTCATTACTTTATCAAAAGTTGTTCCATAAACTAATTTTAGGTTTCTTGTGTGATATAAGTATTTCTGTACTCGCAAATCATATTTATAATGAGTTTCGTTATAACTGTTTTGAACTCTGCTTAGATAGTTTACTGAGTAAGCTACGTCTGGTCGTGTTCCATTTGCCACATACAAAAGCGCTCCAATTAAATTACTATATTGTAATTTTTCATTTACTTCTTGTGCAGGCTCCAATTTTAAATTTATTTCCATAGGTGTAACAATTGGTTTTGAATAAGTAATTTTGTACTTCTCAGCTAAACTCTCAATGTATTTATCTTGGCTTAAATACATTTTCTTTTCTTTGGGTTTGTAATCAACGTTGACACCTAAATATTATTTTACACATCCTAAATCCTTCATACGAAAACGATCGCCAACAATTCTTTAACTTTCGTAATACTCGTTTTTTCTTCGCCTAAGATCGTCTACGTATAAAATTATATATATATTCTCGCCATTTATACGTCCTGTATACAGACAGTAGTCATACGCAGATCTTTTGAACCACTTTGAGCCACTGGTGAATATATTTCTTTATTTTCTTCATACATCTGTTGAAAACCCTTAGCCACAAATCTCGTTTTATATATACCACTTGATTTAATCGTATAAATCCATTTAACTTCAATAATTTTTCTGTCTATTGGTGCATCTACTATCTACCAAGTTCTATTTCTTTCCAAACTGTTTATCTCTGTCTGTATAGCCCTTTGCCATTTAACAGATTCAGAACAAGCTATTGCCTCTTCATAGTTTTCAGGGACATTTGCATTACATATATTTACATAAACAACAGTCTATATCTCTCGGGCATCTTTTTGGTTCATTGGGGTCTTCCATATACAACTAATTCCTGTTCAAATGAAAATTCGTTTTCATTATTTCTTTCGTTGCCTATCTTTGTTATATTAGTAGTCTCCGTGTCTTGCGCTGGTTCAGTATAATTATTATCAACTTCTCTTTTCTTCTCTTCTAGATGTTTTATCCACAAATCGTACGTGCCTGCTTGTAACTAATCTATTTTCAACTAAGATTTTGTATCCTGTATCTGTATAACCAACTAGAATACCTTTTACTGCCTTTGGATTAAATTTTTAATTTCGTCTTTGTTCAGAAATTCTCACAAATACTTTACTTCCAATTATTCTCATGTTTGATACATCTGGTCTTCTTCCAGTAAATATTTAATATGGTGTCTTTTTAATCCCTGTATTGGTTAACGATCTATTTCCTATATATGCTGCTGTCTCTACACATATTGGCCAGTATTCTTTTTCAATTTTTGCTTCTGATAATAAACATCTAGATCTGTCCATTACTGATCTATTAAATCTTTTTGCTACTCCGTTTAATTCATGTGTGGGTGGACATGGATTTATGTATATCCCTCTTTCTTTAGCCAATCTGTACGTATCTTTATTGATGTATTCTCTTCCATTATCACATCGCAGCTCTTTTATTCTTTTCCCAGTCGCATTTTCAGCAAAATTCATGCATTCCAAGAAACATTCCAACACTTCACTTTTGTATTTAATGCAAAAAAATTTAGCAATCCTACTATAGTCATCGATAAAAGATACAAAATAGCATTCACCATCAATACCTGTGGGATTTAATGGACCATTTACGTCAGTAAGAACTATTTCTAAAATTTCATTCGCTCGTCGTCGATTGTTCTTAAAAGGTAAGTTAAACATCTTATTCTGTGAGCAAATTTCACACTGTATATAATCATGTGCAATAATTTTTGATCACATAACTTTTTAAAATTTATAAAATTGGTGTGCCCAAGAACTCTGTGCCATTTTTCCTTCTCTGACATTTTACAAGTTGTGTGTGATTTTACAAATTGTTACCTACTTTACCATTCAATAAGTATAATTTTTTTTTCTCTGCAACCGCTACTAAAACATTATTAAGCCCATCAATTTTGGCCCCATACCAATCTAATATTATACAATTATTATAGTTAACATTGGAAGACACACTTAATAGATTTTGCTTCATACCTGGTACATAATAAACATTTGTAATGTTTGTTTCGAGCCATTTACCTTTTACACAAAAATGCATCAAAACATTTCCTAATTTACTCGCTTTCAAAGGAAAACCATCTCCTACCTTAATGTCGACTGGACAATCTAAACCTTTAAAATCTGAAAAATACTTATCATTATATTTATAATGTGATCAGAACAGCCACTATCTAGTAACCATGTCAAATTTTCAGTGTTACTACAATCTTCATTCACCGGATCTCTCTCAGAAGACATCACTTCAACATTAAATGTCGATCCTTTCCCAGTATACTCCTCACCTGTGTTTAAATAGCATTCTCGAGTCATACCTTGGGTTTTATTTATGCCTCGAATATAACGTTTTCCTCGGAAGTTACTTTGTCATCTGTAATTTTGACCTCTCCAGTTATGATATCCTCGTATGTTACTGTTCCCTCTAAATTTATAATTTCCGCGCCAATTCGGAACAAATATTTCATTTCTCGGGCAGTCTTTTTGGCAGTGGCCCGGTTGATTACACTTATAACAGTTTCCTATTTGTAATGTCGACATTTTTTTGCGAATATTCAGAGATTCCATTTCTTTCACATCACTCTCTTCTCTTCCTTTTGTCTGTATAGCAGAAGCAATTTAGCCTTAATATATTCTACCAGTGCATCAACAATGTCAACTATATGTGAGCATCTGGGTGGAAGACCCAATAGTAAATAGTTAAATTCGTCTTCTTCGGTCATTTTCGCTCCGGCATTTTTTAATTCGTTTATATTCTTCTCGAACAAATTTGAAAATTCGACTGGATTGTCATCAACCGCAATTTTTAATTTTAGCAATTTTCTTTTGCACAGCAATTTGCTTCGTAAATAGTATGAAAAGGGAATATTTAAAATAACTAAATACTGGATATAACTTCTTGACTTTAATTATTACGAACGTATAATGATTACAATCGTCACCTTAGAATTTTTAGTAATAATCTGTGTGCAGCACGTGCCGTTCCCCGCTTTTAAGCCCTCTCGATATCAATCAGGTTACCCCACCAAGCGAGAAACATCCCGCGTATAATAAGCACAACTTCCGTTTCATAATCTTATTTAATTATGTATTTTGCTAAACAGTACGAGTACAATCACTGTATAGCAAAATACACAAATTTATACAAACGAGTTACTACTACTATGTACAATTTTTAGAGATATCTTGTAAATGCTAATACAATCAAGAAACAGCACGCGGTACAATGGTCACAACTTCCGTTTCCGAATCTCATAATTATGTATTTTGCTAAATAGTAGAATTACTGCATAGCAAAGTACTCAAATCTACGCAAATGAATTACTACTATTTATGTACAACATTACAAAGATATTTTGTAAATGATAGTATAATCGCGAAACATCACAAGGTATAATAATCACAACTTCCGGTGCCGAATCTAATTTAATTATGTATTTTGCTATGGTACACAATATTACTGTACAGCAAAATACTCAAATGTACGCAAACAAATTACTAATATTAATGCACAACATTATAAAGATATTTTCACCTCAGCAGCTCGAACAAGGCTATTTTGCTGTGTGAAATCAGTGAGCAAAATCTTATTTTGCTCACTCCGTGAGAAAAAGTAGCTTTTTGCTTTTTAAGTGGAGACTTGTCATTTAATGCGAAGGGGTCTAATACAAATTCGACTTTACGGTGCGGGAAGGGTCACAATCCAGCTCAACTCATAATGAAACCTCGACCACTACTCAAGTAGCAAACACTACGACGATTACTGTTCCAAATAAAACAGTAACTTTTAATCTACAGAATTGTACAAACTTCACGTTCCACTTTTAATTTTTTGTAAATTCTGTATTTTTGTAAATATACAATGATGCATTTGCTTTCATGACGTGTTTTTATTACTTGTCCCTTTAGTATATATATATGTTCTCGCTGCTGAGGTGAAAAGTTGTATGTATCACGCGAGAGCAAAGTTATTTTGCAGCTCGTATTTTTGAGTCCCTCGCTTCGCTCAAGATTCTAATTCTGAATCACTCGCTACGCTCGTGATTCAACTATAGAATCTTTCGCTTGCTCAGGACTCAAAAACAGCACTCGCACCAAAAAACGACTTTGCTCTCTTGTTGAACAAATAACTATTTCGGAATGCTAACAATAGTATCAAACTTTTGTATCATTTTAGCAGCTTTATCTTCAGGTATTATTATTTCCAATTGCGTGTCGCTTACGCCGTTAACAATATAATTTTTCGCTTTTAGCTCCATTTTAACCCAATCAATGTTTCAAATATTTTCTGGTTTATTCTCTGTTGTGAGGACCTCGTAACAACCTTTCATCTCCAAACGTAATTTCAATCTACATATTATTTCCTTCGAATATTTGTATAGAAAATTCTGTTTCTTTTGACTTTTTATTTTTCAAAATTTCTTACATTTCTTTGTAAAATAGTTTATTGTGGTAAGTCCGCAAATAAAACATAATTTTTCTTGAACTACATCTTTAACTATTAATATCTTAAACCACGCTTTGCTACCATGTTAAAATAATACGTTACATTTCTAAATAATCAAATTCAAATTAACCACCACCATTCACAATCCCCAAAGACAAATAACAAAAAACTAGAACATAAAGTAAATCTCATTTCTTAAAAACTTCGGAACTTAGCCTTTTGAGAAACTAAATCATATTTCCAACAAAAAACACTTAAAGATTTAAATTACTTTATATTACGAAAAAAAAGTACTCCGCGGAGACCGCGTATGAAATCGCTATTTGAGTAAAATGCACGTGCACCTCACGTTAAACGAAAAGTACTTTAAAAATTTGCTTTCTAAAACAAGCACATAAGCACGCTTTTCAATTTTAAGCGTAAGCGTTGGTTAGTTCAATAATCAACAATTTGATTTTTACAACGTGCTTGTTTATGTTTCAAGACCAACCATCTATTTTTCTAAACAAATTAATTCGTCAAGGTGAATAATAATTTTATAAATAAAGATAAAACTCGTGTTTTACTGCCTCCGTGGCCGAACGGTTACCATGCCGGACTGCCACGCAGGGGTCCCAGGTTCGATTCCCAGCTGGGAGAAAGATTTGTATGGCCTACATTTATTTCTCTCGTGAGTTTGGGTGTAATTTGTGGTTGTCTATGTATGTGTCCATAGCACCCGCGACCCAGGGTTTCCCTAGTGCGGGGCTTTGTTGAGTGTGTGCGTGTGTGCGTTATTAACGCTTAAATCCTTTAGTGGTCCACTCTCAGATTACAAAACAATAGGCAGATGGAGTATACGCAACAAACGAAGTGAAGCCGCTTTTCATTTATTGTTTGCGTAACAAGTAGGAAGGGCGCTGTAGGGACATGCGCATTTGTGTGCGTGTAAGATTGCCGGATGCTGCGAAAAAACTCTCGCATTTTTTTCTGTTGCTTTCTATAATACTGTTACAAACTGGAAATGTTATTTTGCAATATAGGTACTTCAGTGGTATTAGGATATTAACAAATTATATGCAATATAAGTTGCGACGCTGTGCTTAGTGTTGACGCGAGTTTGTATTTGCTTGTGACTTTGTATTTGCTTTGGTCTCAGATTACAAAACAATAGGCAGAAGGAGCGCGCCAAACATGAAGGTGAAGCCACCAAATGAGTTTCCTTATATTAGGTAAATATGCACGAGTGATAGGAGCATCGAATAATTTATGCTTTTGTATAGTAATTAAATAATGCATGCGTGTACACACAAAATGGTCCAAATACAGCGATCCAAAATTGTTTTTTAGGTATCTCAAGATTTACCTAAATTATTCTCAAACCAATCTCTAATCGCCATAATGTAGCTACATAAAAGAAAATGTTCAAACAGCTAAAATTTTAGACTTATAGATACAGAGAACTTTCATTGTTATGTGCACATGTCATAAACAGAGTTATCTTGTAAGAAAAGGTAGCAATAATAAAAAAAATGATTATTAATGTATGTATGTACATGACTTCACAGGTTCTAAATAGTGTCATTGGGAATTAGAACATAATCGTCAAAACTATGGAATTGATTACAATGTTAATTTAATAAAAAATTTTATAGACACGTTGATGGTGAGACTGCGCTACATAACAAAATTAGAAACGAATGCTCGATGTATAGACGCGAAACGGTAGTATTATAAAAAATGTGCACAAAATAAAGTTATTAAGGCATTGTGTAACTGTGATTGTAATAAATATTTTGAACTATCAAAGTTTTCCAATTTAAAATATCTTAATAAAATATTTTCTTTGTGTGATGTAAATATATAATATTATTAAATATATTTAATAAAATAATAACAATTAAACATTAACTTATATTTCATATAATTTGTTTGATATCCTAATACCACTTTTAAGTACCTATACTACAAAATAACAAGTTTGTAACAGTATTACAGAAAGCAAGAAAAAAATGGGGGAGTTTTATCGCAGCATCTGGCAATTTTACACGCGCACAAATGCGCATGTCCCCCCAAGTGCCCCTTCTAGTTGTCACGCACACGTAAATGAAAAAGTGGCATCACTTCGTTTGTTGCGTATGCTCCATCTGCCTATTGTTTTGTAATCTGAGGGTTTGGTTGCTTCACTTTAGTGTTCGGCGCGCTCCATCTGCCTATTGTTTTGTAATCTGAGGGTTTGGTGGCTTCACTTTAGTGTTCGGCGCGCTCCATCTGCAATAAGGAGGGTACCTACTGTACGTGCTCCCGGGGTCGCTCACCCAAGGCACTAGCCTTTTGGTAGCGCTAGCACCGGATAAAGTCCGTGACAACTGTCTGACAATCCTGTCCCTGCGAGGGCTTGCTTGCACAGCTTATAGCACTATAACTCCCCGTTTAATCAAGAGGTTGGTAGAGAGGGGCACTGTAATTGAAAGATCTCTTCTTCGAATTGTCAACTTTATTTAGATTTTCCAGAGAAAATTGACGGTTCGAAAAAGAGATAACTGCTGTCTTCGTGCTCATGCTAAGCGTGTTGATCTTTTATCTGTGCCATGACCATAAAGTTCTTGCCAATGAATCTTATGATTTTCATAATAATATGGTAGTTTTAGCGACACCTAGCGAGTTTTAAGCCTCTGTCTAACGACG